AACGGTGTCGCCGTTCGTATATGGTCATTACAGCTCTGCCCCGACTTACAAACGGGGTTAGGGACCCAAATCCAGGTCGTAAGTCAAAAATGCTTAAAAAATACATAGAAAATCTAAAATGGGTGTCTCTTTTTCTTCTCAGCACCACAAAACTCTCACTTTAAAGCTTGCCAGCCATTTTAAAGTGAATTACAAACGAAAATTTTGTCTGTACTGACGTTGGGACTCGAAAATACATAATTTGACAAAATTTGGGTACGACTGAGGCAGGTCGTAAGTACGGGTGGTCGTAAGTCGAGCAGGTCGTAAGTCGAGGAGGAGCTGTATTTGTGAATTCCAGGGGTAAGACGATCTTGACTCTTCAGTGTTTGTGTGTTATAATCTTTTTATGAACGTCTTCGTGAGGAAGTACTTTCCACAGCAATACTGTGAAATTAGAACTAAGTTTGTCTTAAAGACAATAATCATTCACCACTTCAATGCTGTGGCTCGCTGCTTACCCCCCTCCTGTCTCAGTGACAATAAGTTCAACCACGGCAGGTGTTAAGTTATACAAGGTAAGGTTAGGATAGGTTAATTGGTAAAATTTCACTTGTTGCCAGTATATGAAATCGAAGTTGAAACTATGTTTTTCCGATGGCTTTTGATGTGTAATGAATGAATTTGACCTTCATTTCTGGCACAAATCAATAGTTTCTGAGATAAGCCCACCCCCTCCCACCTCAGAATCAAGAGATTAACTATAAAAATCAAGGTAAAAAAGTGTTCAAAACACATAAAAAACCTTTGGAAAAACAAAACCCTAACCAACCTATCCTAACCTAACTGGGAGCTCCACAGCCTTTCGAAGTTTTGCGCGTGTACCACTACAGTACAGTGGGGTATGCTATAACGAATCTAATTGGTTCTAGAACCTTGTTCGTTATAGCATTCGTTCGTTATAGGATTAATCCGTTCCAGGCCCCCAAATACAACCACTTAACACTGAAAAATATAATATAAAATTGTAAAAAAGTGCATAAATATGCATCTAAACCCCTGAAATAAAGAATATCATTAATATTTGTAATAAAAAAACAATAAATTAGTAAAAAAAAAAAAAAAAAATTTTTTAAATAATGTTCTTTGTAGGAGTTTCGTTCGTTATAGCATTCTCAATTTTATAGGTAAAACCATTCGTTATAGGAATATTCGTAGTAGGATCCGTTCGTTATAGCATACGCCACTGTATAGCCTCGATTTACGCGGATTTGGTTTACGCGTTTGGTCATTTAAGCGGCACCTTGCCAGACCAACAATTTTTATTTACGCGGTTCATTCCATCATTTACGCGGGAAGCAGCGCGGGCAGGGTGCGCACAAGGTCGCCCAGTCAACAAAACATTCCCGAGTTCTTCACCCGCCACCCACCACAGCCGGCCCAAGTCAGTGATAGTGAGGATATGGACTTTGAGGGGTTTGACAAAGAGACCCTGCAAGCATCTGTGGTGGATAGTGATACAAGTGATACAGGTGAGGGCCAATAATCTGCCCTCGGCCTCAGAACCAACCCCAATCCCCGTGTACCCAGCCATCTCTTCTACTAACGTAACTTCGTAAGTGTTAAAAAACCTTATATTATTGATATTTCGCTTAAATATTAATTGTGTGTGCATACCATCTTAAAATTAAGATGTTATTTTCACTACAAGGTACGTATTGTGTCGGAAAAAGTGTAGTTTGGGGGTCGGCCCAGTCTCTACATGTACTTCAATTAATCCTATATGTTCTGTTATTTCGTTTACGTGTTTCTCGGTTTACGCGGACCTCCATGGGTTCAAATGACCGTATAAATCGAGACTATACTGTACGTCATTTGATGTTCTGCGTGTGTACCGCCAGATACGAACATAAATAATAAAATGTTAAATATCTCGCTTAAACATAATTTGTGCCAGAAATACCATAAAAGAAAGTGTCTTAGAATTGTCAAAGCTACTGATTGCAACTATAAAATTCCCGAGATTTGTTTAGTGGCAACAACTGAAAGGTAAATTTTCAGGGAATATTGCAGTAAACAGCAACCACAGATTTCCAGAAATTCACTACACTCGATAGAACTATTTTCTCTGTGATCATTTTCGTATATTACACTTTCGTTGCAAACTGATAATAAAGAAGTTATTGAATTTTAAAAAGAATAAAATCAGAACACCTGTTGCCCCTACCCTGTGGATCTAATCTGCAATTTTACCTATATTCTCGTGTAGGCTGGCCACGCGACTCTGGGTTAATACATAGCGTCTGAGGGCTTGGGGGTTAGGTAAGGTTTAGTTTGGTTATAATGGTAGTAGGCAGCTACCAAACAGGGAGGTACTACCGCCTGGGAAGATATTGGAAGCATATTGTATTGTCTAATGGTAGACCCTGCTGCCATATGGCACCACCAAAATTTTGACCAAATCCCAGGTTGCCGGTCTGACTTTATGCCTCATTTACACAATTGCAGGGTCTCAATTGTTTCTCTTATTACTGTATTAACAGCACAACATACATAAATTGTTTCTCACTCTTGATCTTTTGTTCATTTTTGTATTTATTTATGGTTCTATATTATTATTACATTTTCGTCCCCCAGGCCCCGATGTGGGTCAGTGACCTCTGCCCGGATGGGGCAATCCCCGTAAAAAAGGCACAGAGTGCCGGGAATTCAGAATACCCGCCCAGAACCCTGAATTCCCACACTTTTCTCCATTATTATTAGTGGGAAGTGGGGTAAATCCAAAACAAGAGATTCCTGATAAAAATGAATGTCAGATTTGAACCAATTGCATCAAAAATCATCATTAAAACATTTTTTTACCAGATTCTTTGGTTGCTGTAATCTGCAATTTTACTAAAATTTCATACAAAATAAAATGTTAAATATGTATCTCACTTATACATAGGTAATTTTTGCCAGAAATGCCATTGAAGAAAAATGTCTTAGAATGTCAAAACTACTGATTGCAACTATAAAATTCATGAGATGGTGGAGTGGCAACAAGTTAAATAATACAGGTTACTTAAGGTTAAGTTAGGTTAGGTTTGGTAAGGTTAGGTTAGGGTTAGTGTGAACTTTTAAATAAACACTTTTTAACACATTTGCCATAACTATGTGTCCACTATAAACACTGAATTTGTGGAGTTTACTATGAAAAATCACAGGCTGTGAAGTCAAATAATTTCCACATTTACTTCATGGAATTTTAAGAAATCCTCACGCCTTTAAACTTGACTAATACTGAACCTCTCTTCCCATCTATGTACTGAAACATTGTCTGAAGCTCCTCCACCAGAACGGTCCTAGACTAGTCCTCAGTTGCTTAAGTTAAGAAATCATAACATGTATATTTTGCCTCATGTTCTCCAAAAACAATTTGGTATTTTTATAGTAGTTCACACAACATTCCTACCCCAAATCTTTTATCACATTCGAAAAAGACATCTAATTCTATTAAGATAATTTTCTTCCATTACATTACCACCAGAAACGTATAATAATGGAGATAGAGCATGCCAAATCGTTCTCTATTTAATTCCATTAATCTTCCACCATTATCACCTACCCAACCTCCCACTCAGCAGGTTCCCTTCATAAATCGTCATGCACATGCGTTTCCGTACACGTCACGTGGCCAATCAAAAGCGCTTTTTTTTTTGCCACCAATTGAAATGAATTGTAGTTTCTGCTTTTAGAATTTGCAGTATTTTTGGCCCAATCAGATTCGATTGTGATTTTGGGTGTCTCATGCTTCGAAATTCATTTCCGACCATGCAAGTCTGCGCGTTTTGGGCAAAAAAGCGAACAAGCAATAGCATTTTTTAGATCTCATGGTGTTCTCCCGACCTCAGGAAAGATTCGAATTCGGAATAACGTAAGAAATAGCCAATTCCCTCATATGGTGAGTCTGGTTACATAAAAACACCGTGAGTCGGGTTAGGTCATCAGAAAAAAAAAGGTTAGGTTTATATGTTTTTCTAGTGTTTTTTTTAAGTGTATTTTGTATTCACTTGGCCATTATTTTTGTTTGAAAATGCCCCACCCAAAACCCCGGTTCCCAACATGATCCCCTATTTTGTTGGGGTAGAAGGGGGCGTGGTGAAGGTGTAGAAGAGGGTGACCACCAGAAGGAATTGTCTGAATTGTTTTTAAAAAAATTTCTGCACACTAATATCATTATACTAAACACAAAAATGAAAACGACAATGCATAGAAGCTAATACAACCTGACCTAACATACCCATAAGTTGGGTAAGTTAGGTCAGGTTTTATTTGGTTCTATGCATTACTTTGTATTTATTTTTATATCATGCTAATCACATTGTATTAAACACAGAAATGGAATCGACAATGCATAGAACCTAATAGAACCTGATAATCTTTTAATTGACTCAATCCCGCTTCACAATTATCCTCCCGGCGCCATTTTTGTTGTTTACCTTGCTGAATCCCTTTTCAAGAAACGTTTCCTCAACGACTGTGAACGCTTCCATGTATATCAACCCCAATATTAAGGTAAGTTGTTTAACACACAAATTAACACGATAATGCATAGAACCTGACCTAACAAACCCAAAGGTTGGGTATGTTAAGTCGGGTTCTATGCATTGTCGTTTCCATTTTTGTGTTTAATATGATATTAGTGTGTAAAAAAATTTCAAACAATTCGGACAATTCCTTCTGGTGGTCACCCTCTTATACACCTTTACCGGTGGGGGTAACTATAAAAAAAAAACAGGCAATTTACGACGGAAATCAAGGTCAGAACCAATCAAAACACAAAAATACACTAGCAAAACAGAGTTGTGTGAATTACTATAAATTTACCAATAATTCGTCCTCGATTTCAAGTTAACTTAAATTGGACGTGTGCTCCTACAACACTTCGCACTTCATTTGTACCAGGCGATACATGTCGTTTCCATGATGCAATCATGCAAGCACTGTCAGTGTCACTTTAACAACATTGAAGATATTACCTGATACAGAAGCACACGCAGAGTAACAAAAGTGTTTCTTGTGAGGTTATGTAGTAGTTCTTCGTATACGTTACGTGGAGACAGCACAATAAAAACGGAGTGTTTATTTCTGGTGGTCAGCCCTCCCTCTCGCACTGGAGTCACTAGTAACAGAGCTGCCGTTTATACGTGTCTTGCTTTTCCGTGTGTGCTGATTGGTTACCTTCTTGCACTGTGATTGGTTGCCGTTTGACGTCACAAAACCAGACAAAATAAACTAATGAAAAATATAATTTACTTAAGAATTTGTTTCTCTTATCGTTTAAGATAGAAATGATTAGTACATTCCTTGCAAGGAACCTTGTAAATGCAGCCACCTGCATTGTTGGGGGAGTGTGGGGTTATGGGATATTGGTTCACACTCAGGATGGGTTGGAGAAAGGAAACTCACAATGTGCTCTCTGTATACATATTGTATTGGATGTACAATGCAGCTTGGTGCTGGGGGCTCGTAGCGTGACTCCAAGCGTGATGTTGAGAGAGTTGGTTGGTGAGGGTGCTCAGAGGAGAACACGCAGCTTGTAGGGCGGTGTGGGGTTCAGGATATTTGGTTCACACTCAGGATGGGTTGGAGAAAGGAAACTCACAATGTGTTCACTGTATACATGTTGTGGGGTATGAGATGTTTGGTTCACACTCAGGATGGAATGGAGAAAGGAAACTCACGATGTGCTCTCTATATACATGTTGTATTGGATGTACAATGCAGCTTGGTGCTGGGAAGGCAGCATGGTTACAAGCGTGATGTAGAGAGAGCTGGTTGGTGAGGACGCTCAGAGAAGGACAGCTTGTGGCTCGCCAGCGGGAGCGAGGACCGCCAGGCAGGCGGAGGAGGAGCGAAGGCCGCCAGGCAGCGGCGGAGGAGGAGGTGTTGCTGGCTGCGGCTGTAGGTAGAGGGAGAGGCAGATCACCACGAGGTCAGGTCTTAAATAGCGGGGGTAGGCGTGGCTTAGCAGTTGACCCCCGCTCCGTGGTGTATGGCGGCGCTGGTTGGCCTAGACCACGAGGCATACACTGGGGAATTGGTGGGGTCGGCTAGGCAGCGACAAACAGCGTTTGTAGGGGAGAATTCCACTACAATACTCCCCCTTCCCTTCAGGCTGTGTAGGAGACTTGTTGTCTGCAGGGTTGCATAGCACATGTGAGGCAGAACGGGCGGTGCGTGCCTCATGTGAGACAACGGCGATGGCGTGGATGAGCCGGTCGCTGGGGACAACTGTCTAGATACACAATATCTGTGGGAGTAGAGAGGGAGAATAAGGGTGTGTGGAGGCGATGAATTTTGTGCTTCCCTCACGGTAGGTACAGAGTCGTCAGATGCGCCTGCTGGGGTGTGTGGGCCTGGGTCAGGAGCAGGGGCTGCGTCAGCAGAAGCGGATGAGGGCTCGTGACAGCAGCTGGGTCCACGACAGCAGCAGGGTGCAGGACATTAGCAGGGAGTACCTGAGGGAGAAAAGAGGGGTGTGTTGGTCCGCACTCAGGAACAGAGGCCGCATCAGGGGCGGCAGGGGTTACTGCTGGGCCGGGGTCGGCGTCTGAGGCAGGACGGGTGTGCTGGGGTCGGTAGGACGTGGTGCTTGGGGGCAGGAAAAGGAGCTGGTGTCTGCTAGGAGAAACAGTGCTGCTCTAGGGTGTCTAACCTGTGGTGTAGAGACAGTAGTTGTAGAGTCGATGAGAGCTGCTTCTGTGTGGATAAGCCAGTCTTCCATGTTGCTTGAAGACTGGGAGCGTGATCAGTTTCTCCTCCATCCTGTGTGAGTGCGAATCTCCGGGAGTCACCATTTGTGGGGTATGAGATGTTTGGTTCACACTCAGGATGGAATGGAGAAAGGAAACTCACAATGTGCTCTCTATATACATGTTGTATTGGATGTACAATGCAGCTTGGTGCTGGGAAGGCAGCATGGTTACAAGCGTGATGTAGAGAGAGCTGGTTGGTGAGGACGCTCAGAGAAGGACAGCTTGTGGCTCGCCAGCGGGAGCGAGGACCGCCAGGCAGGCGGAGGAGGAGCGAAGGCCGCCAGGCAGCGGCGGAGGAGGAGGTGTTGCTGGCGGCGGCTGTAGGTAGAGGGAGAGGCAGATCACCACGAGGTCAGGTCTTAAATAGCGGGGGTAGGCGTGGCTTAGCAGTTGACCCCCGCTCCGTGGTGTATGGCGGCGCTGGTTGGCCTAGACCACGAGGCATACACTGGGGAATTGGTGGGGTCGGCTAGGCAGCGACAAACAGCGTTTGTAGGGGAGAATTCCACTACAATGTTGTATACACTGTATACATGCTTGGTGCTGGGAAGGCAGCGTGGTTACAAGCGTGATGTAGAGAGAGCTGGCGGGAGCGAGGACAGCCAGGCAGGCGGAGGAGGTGTTGCTGGCTGGTTGGTGTAGGTATAAAAGAGGCAGGTCACCACGAGGTCAGGTCTTAAATAGCGGGGGGGTAGGCGTGGCTTAGTAGTTGACCCCTGCTCCGTGATGTATGGCGGCGCTGGTTGACCTAGACCACGAGGCATACACTGGGGAATTGGTGGGGTCGGCTACTCAGCGACAAACAGCGTTTGTAGGGGAGAATTCCACTACAGCGGCATAGTCGCCGGCGGGAGCGAGGGCCACCAGGCGGGAGCGGAGGTGTTGCTTGCTGGTGGTTGTAGGTAGAAAGAGAGGTCACCACGAGCAAGGTAAGTAGATACCAGGTAGCTTCACGCAGGCCCATAGGAATTCACTAATTGCCACTTCATGCGTTTGTAATATTGAGGTACTATTATCTGCTTTTACTGTTTGATGTAACTAAGTGGGCGGAGCTTAACAAGTGATGTCATCGCTAGCCAATCAGCGACGTTGGATGAATCCAGCGGTCGCAAGTAAGATATTTATATTTATTTTATATGTTTAATCAGTGGCTCCAATTAAAATAAAACAGAAATCCCCATTCCATACATTTATTTTACAACTTTTAATACCATCATAAACCTTAAAAAATGCGTAGATAAAAATTTCATTTTTATTTTCATTATCGTAGATTCTATGGGAGTGAGGCTACCTGTTATCTACCTACCTTGACCACGAGGTGAGGTCTTATATAGCGGAGGTAGGCGTGGCTTGATAGTTGACCTGTAATGGTCATGATAAGAGCTAACCTGAAAACCTTAAGGATTCATATTACGCTCAAACGTCCACAAAACCTTCCGAGTCCCCCAGTGGAAACGTCCCCCGTTTTCTCTGTTTCCCCCGCCTTTGTCTATGGGAGCAGACGCTGTATGCTGGGACCTGTTGCCATCCATTCCTTTGTAATCAATTTAATTTTGCTTTCGATAGCTGAGTCAGAGCAGTGTTAGTGAAGATAATAGTAGAGAATGAAAATGAGTTCATAGTCTCAATTTCAACGTCAGAGGGTACCGTAAATTAATTCATTGGAATAGGAGTAGCTGGACTCCCTGGCCTAGTTTGAGTGAGGGCGCCGCGGGCATTTTAACCGTTAGTAAGTGCCCGTCCCTTCATCCATACAGGTATGCCATTCCACGCTGTGTTGTAATTTGCCCTTCTTTAAGTGATTTGACCCAATTAATAGTTGATTGTGCAAGTGTTACAGTAACGTAGTTGATATGCTCTGAGTAAAGTCATATTTACGTCTTTAACGTCCCCTGAAACGTGTTGTTGTTGTCACCAGTTAGTAAGTGCCCGTCCCTTCATCCATACAGGTCCCTAACGCAGCCTAGGCCGTGTCTGTAGGGTGGATGTTGTATCCACTATGTCTGGGGACATGTCCGAGGTCCAGTAGGATCAGTTACCTACGTGAGACCCGGCCGTCAGACACTTCAGACCACCTATAGCCCCCATAGCTGGCTCGTCTGGGCCTAACGCTCGGTCCACGAGGTGACCCCGGACCACCAAGCCACACACCACTACCAGCCCCCATCATTGGTGGATGAGTGTCTACCTCAGTAGGGCTATATTTGTGTGGTGGAATTAACCCACTGGGATCTCCAGAGTTCGTCGGATAGTACTCCATGGTGGCTGGACCCCATGGCTGTTGCTTGAGTATCACTCCTGACGACTGAGTGTTGTAGTGGCAGTTGCCCTAGTATGTATGGTGCTAAGTGACTATCCTAGTTGTGCTATTGAGTATGTCCACCCAGTAGGGTTGGAAGTGTATTGAATATGTCCACCCAGTAGGGTTGGAAGTGTATTGAATATGTCCACCCAGTAATGGTGTGAGTATGTTGTGCCTGAGGGCCTAGTACGAGATTTCGTCTGTTAGTACAAACCAATCCTTTCTTCTAATTTCATATTCATGTTTAAATAAACTTTGTATTTGTATAATTGTGTATAATATTTACCTACAGTATTTACCGTTATTTCTTCCCTATTGCTTGATACTATCATTACACCTACCCACGAGCCTCCTACCGTCACGCTACCAATGGTGATATATAAGAGTACAAGGAATTGTTACTGGCACACAGGCCCTCATGAAGGGTGGCAGTAGCAGCCCTCATAAATGGTGGCAGCTCAAGCCCTCATAGACCTCAGTTATGTTAGGCGGCGCTGGTTGCCGACCTTGACCATGAGACGCAGGCTGGGGAATTCGAGGGTGGGTAGTCAGTGACAACGGCGGTTGTAGGGGAGGAATCCACTACAGGAGTTCTTGATTAACATTTGTTTTACAGTGCATGAGTTTTTAAATACCACATTGACTCCCCCAACAATGCAGGCAGTTGCATTTACAAGGTTCCTTGCAAGGAATGCAATATGTTTTATTTAGGTCAGACAAGTAAAGATCTTGTAACTAGACTTAAACAACATAAATATAGTGTCAGGACAGGCCAGGAATCCAATGCTCTATTTGTTCATTTGAGGGATAATAAGCATTGCATTGACTGGGATTGTGGCGTACTGTATGTGGCCAGTTGTATATTCTCTTTGGTTGTCTATTGTCTCTTTGTATGGGCACACAAACGTACGTACATGTAGATATCTCACACTCAGGAATGAGGTAGAATAGAAACTCACAATGCGTTTTCTGTTGTACAGAGCAGTGCAGTGCTAGGGAGTTACTAGGTGATGAGTAGTTTCAGTGCCGGATTTAGACCTGTGGAGGCCCATGGGCAGCCTCTTTGTGGAGGCCCCCCTCATTATAACTACCCATGAGGGTGGGGTGGCGAGTGAAGAGAGCCTAAACATTTGGGAGTTCAGGGGGGCGCTGTAAGCTCCCCAG